TTTGCAAAGACTCAGGGTGAGTGTCCAGCTGTCTCACTGACAGAAACTCAGTGTGAGTGTCCAGCTGTCTCACTGACAGTGTGAGTGTCCAGCTGTCTCACTGACAGAAACTCAGGGTGAGTGTCCAGCTGTCTCACTGACAGAAACTCAGGGTGAGTGTCCAGCTGTCTCACTGACAGAGACTCAGGGTGAGTGTCCAGCTGTCTCACTGACAGAGACTCAGGGTGAGGGTCCAGCTGTCTCTCTGTAAGAGACTCAGTGTGAGTGTCCAGCTGTCTCACTGACAGAGACTCAGGGTGAGGGTCCTACTGACAGAGACTCAGGGTCAGTGTCCTACTGACAGAGACTCAGTGTGAGGGTCCAGCTGTCTCTCTGACAGAGACTCAGTGTGAGTGTCCAGCTGTCTGTCTCACTGCCAGAGACTCAGAGTGAGTGTCCAGGCATGGACACTGGAGCAGCAGGAGAGGAGATGCAGGAATTAAACTAGGAAGAGGAATGATGCTGGGATGAATGACGCAGGAAACTGAGAGTTGTAGGATTGAAACCAGTTCTTGTTGGTGCCCTGATCTCTGGAGCAGAACAAAGAATCAAGTGTGTGCTCAAGCAGGAGAGAGCAAATATCATTGAGAAATTCTACAGAGAAACTTCAAAACCAGCAGCACATACCCAGCTGCTGTTCGAAGAAAAGAGAAGCGTGTCTGGACAGAGGGAGTCCGGGGTTATACTGGGATACAGGGACAGACAGAAGGAACAGTATGTAGGTCTCTATTCTGTTTGGAGGGTGAGTGTTTCTTAGTTCACAATGGAAGGAAGGGGAGGGGTGGTATATTAACTCTCACTTCGTCATTGTTGCAGTATTTTATGTTTGTACTATCTGAGATTGAACTAGGTAGACAGAAAACGATGTTGTGTGCGTCTACATCTTCATCGATGTGGAGGAAAATCAGAAAGTAACCCACCTGACTCTCTCCAAGGCAGGTTTCTGAGTCTGCAAAGCAAGCACACTGAAGAACAAGAGGCTGGGAGCCAACTACCAATCAGTGGACTCTCGGCGCAGGTTGGGTCATGTGACTTCCTGTTAGTCGAGGTGTGAAGACAAAACCACAGGCATCACAAGGGTGCTTGAAGAGGAGACGAAAAGGCAAGACAGCAGCAACCTTTAAGGCGCAGAGAGTGATCGGTCGTGCTTCACAGGAAAGAGGGTTTCAGAAGCAAATTTCAGATTAAAAAAATCAAATAGGCTCTAATCTGTACTTGCAAATTTAGCCAGTGAGTGAGCACTGTGAACTTGTGATGGCCTGTAAAGTGACCCGGTTAGCTGATTTAAAGAAGTTTCTTACCATTTCCTCTTTTAAAGTTGGTGCCAGATAGGTGTTCAGAGTAAGAAGAGCTGGTAAGAAATGTGTTACTGTACCTGCAGAATCTTCTGGCAGATGTGAATATCCATAGTGCCATTTGACACTCTTCTGTCTGAGGTTATAGTCATTGCTGAAGGTATATGTCTTACTCTATCATACAATACATTAATCAGCTGTTCACTCAAACTGTAGCAATGATGAAGCAAGCTGACGAATGTAAAGGGACAGTGTGCTTAATACTCTAACTTGCCCAGCTGAGGAAACGTCAGCACTGGCTAGAGATCAGTGCTGTCGCATCCACGAGAACTGTTGGGGCGGAGGGCAGTATGAAAGAGAGATGTCGTGTTTAGCCAGGGACCCTTCATGAGCGCAGAAGGAAGTGAGAGACGATAATCTGACTTTCACCTGAACGTCCGTTCAAGAACACCATCATTTCGAGAAACCCACTTCACACAGAAGCTCCATACCTGAGCAAAAAGAGAGTGTATTGCTGGTCCCAACAGTGTGGTCTGAAGAACAGCCTTTCTTGCACCACAGGAAGAGATTCCAAAAATCAGATAACTACCTTGAAACTGATCCGATGACCTGAGTGATTAACCCATCCCCTTTTGCAGCTCAGAAAATTGGAGCGGTATTCCACTTCAGGGATTCTAACATGCAGTTTAATCCTTGTCCTCCAGAGGTCGCTGTAGGCACTCTAACCTCAGCCGTCATTACAATCAACAGTGATTCATTATACAATCAGAAAATTAGTCTGTTGGTATGGACCAGCAAACAAGAAAAGGAAAGAAAATTACATATGGATGTACAAACTACCAGCAAAAAAAAAAAAACGTTGAATGAGTGCACTGTTATCCACCTGGTGCAGTACTCACTGACACAAGTAGCTCGTTTAAAAAAACCTGTAATTAATCATAGGACCAGAATATAAAGAGAACAGACTGAGAATTGAAAATCACACACGCACATAATGAAAGTCTGACATTGACACTGGCCAGGGAGTCCTCTGTGAAAAAATAAAACAATGATGTGACAGTGGCGATTATATTATCCTGGAAACAAATCAGGCATTTATAATTATGTTCTCTATTTGTATACTTATCGGCGGTCATTAATCACACAGCTTCTTAATGATGAACGCACACTTTATGAACACAGGGCTCTAGAATTCTCAGCTGCACCCTGTGAACAACAATCCCTCAGTGGCACAGGACAATAAGAAGTGTTCAAACACTATATCAGAAGTAGATGTGTCTATGGACAATGTAAGTTACATGATCAAGGCTTACAGTCTGCTCAGGAGGAGAGGATCAGCTGGGCGAGATGAGAGGCAGGAGTCAGGATAGTGTGGCTGAGAGCAGCTCGATAATTAAGCCCTAAGCAGTGGTGCTGCAGAGCTTAAATACAGCAGGCTACTGTTACTTGCAAACTGCCCCTCATTGGTTTTTCATTACTTTACACTGTATTTAAATTATCGCTGTCATTAAATTTATTGCCTTTTTCTTCCCTTCACACACAGCAAAATGATGGGTAATGTTTACATTTTCATGCATTGCCACTTTGTCTGTGACACTACTGAATAAAATGGCGGCATCGTTGCCAATAGATACATTCCCGTTAACCTGCAGGCTAATGGATGCATTTAGGATGTAAATGAGCTAAATGAAAGGGTTACACGTCAGCAACAGGATGTCGGTTTAATAAATGGCTGAAGAGACTACATCCTCCTCGTGGTGGACACTCATATCGAGTCTCTGTCAGGGCAGAGTGACACTGAAACATCTGGACACAGAAGACAGGAACTCAGAAAACTCCTCCCCTCTGTCTCTTTCTCATCAACACTTTCAGACTCTCACTGTGTGAATCTTAAGGAGATAAGAGCTACGCAGAGAGCCAAATAGAGAAAAAAGAGAGAGGGGACAGAATCAGAGACAGAAGCGGATCAGAAAAGCCGAGTGGAATACGGAGAAGAGGACATGGCTGATGATAACCTCTACGTTAACGTCAAAACCTCCAGAGTCCGTTCACAGCAGTGTCGAGCCCTCAGGTCTCCTTCAGCACAGCAAGAGGCTCAGCACAGTGAGTACAGGCAGTACAGGCTTCTTACCAAAATTCGAACAGGAATAGGACTGCCAGCGGCAGGGAAAAGGCAGTTAACTGTAATGAAGTTGAATGTAATACTGCAGATACTGTCTGCGATAGTGTAGTAGATCTGATGATGTCCATTACATGCAATCGCTACTGATACTGTCTGTCTGCTCTGCTGTAATACTGTGTAAATGGTCAGCGACACTGTGAAACTAAAACTGTCTGCAGGTTTGTACTACTGCTGCTGTCTGCTATGGTACTTGATCACACTGTAAAATTTCTGATACAGCCTGTCTGTCTGTAGCAATGTTGATGTCTGTTGCAGTATAATTTCTGGCATCAGTGCCTCATCCTCTGTCAGGTCCAGAGCAGTTTTCAATATACTAGTGTCCAGTAGGTACAGTATGAATTAACCTCTGAGATGCACTGCAGAGTTAGTGTGCTGTACTGGGTTCTGTCACTATAGATCCACTTGCCTCTCTCTTTCCAGCCCTGTCCAGGTGTAGAAGCTGTGTCCTGATGGCTCTGGGAGTCACAGTGTGTGTCCTACTGGCCACAGTCATTGCCCTGGGGACAGTCTGTAAGTTTCACAAATCTGATTTATCACAGATACTCGTGTGTGTTTGTGAGCAATAATACCCGACTTTTATGTCTCACAGTAGAAAATGAACTATGCACAATTACACATTATCGTTTATACCTGTGTACTTGACAGTCTTGGCACTAATAAATCTACTGGCTGCCAGG